ATGCGTTGTATATTATCTCCTCATGGGTATACTAAAATACTAATAGACTCTTCCCTTCAAAACTAGAAGCCAAGCCGCGAAGTTGGGGAGAAATCTTTTGGTGTTTGTTTGACTCACCAGACGGACATCTGAGAATTATCCAGTCCTTCTTTGACTTCATAATAAAATTACATTTCTAATTTCTTACCTTATTTTCAAGTTTGATCAACAGGATCTTCTGAGTCAAAGTAAAATCTACATAACCATCTAGGTCGACCCTAAAAGAGAATAAGTAGTCAAAGAGTTCCCGCAATTAAAGGATTTCCATCATGTGTCAATGAATGACAAAGGTCATAAGCACTGTAATGCAATTTGCCTTCAGTTGGGTGGAGATAACATCATAATAACGCATAATGGCCCAAAGATGAAGTCCCTGGATGAATTGACTATGGCATAGCACGAGCCGCCCTCCGTAGTTGTCCGTCACTCCGTCATTTGGGCCTGAAGCCTCTAACACAATGTCATCATCATAGAAATAATGCCTTTAGAGTCTTGAGGCCTCATCAGAAGATAATATGGAGTGCTCTAACATCAGGATTGTCTCAAAATTTTGTGGTGAGAGTTTGGAAGCCACGAAGACACTAAATAGAGAAACGAAGGAGGAAAGATAAATAAGAGAAAGAAAAGTAAAAAAATGAAGTCGCAAAGGGAGGCCTCAACCCTATATATATAATTCACGAAGAGAAGATGAAACACTGCTGACCGTACCTCAAGAACACAAACCTTACGTCACGATATTCGAGAGAAAAAATAAATTTTTAAATAAATAAAAAATGATAGATATTACATATGAAAGAAAACATGAAGATATAATTATTCAGACTTGAAAAATTTAACAAGAGGCTCGTCAATCATTTATGGCAAGATCAACCCTCACCTCAATAATTCCTTATACAAAACTCGACTCCCTAACTTAAATCTATCTATAATATTGACCACAGCCTGAAACCCAGTGATCAAGCATGTCTCCCTTACAGAGGTCAGGTCCATCCACGGGTTCACACTCTCCATTTGGAGGGTCATTATTTCAGATTGGTGGTCTGCCACTTCCGTCAGGAGGATGAGAAGTTTTGTCAATAGATTCTTGGAGAGGGCATTCAACTGCTGCTTTAGGCTTTTTATTATGGCCTCCCACTGAGCCTCAACTTCTTTTTGAGCCTCTACTTCAAAGGCAAAAAATTTGTCATCTCGTTCATCCGAGAAACCATGGAGTATGTGAACTCCCTTTCATCAGTAGTCTGCTGGTCTCTCACTTCTCTTCAGGATGCAAGATCTTGTTCCTCAACAACTTTCGAAGGGTCAAAAGCGTGGTTAGGGACTTCTGCACAATAAAAATTACCAAGTTTAACCGAACACAAGCAAGTCAAACAACCTAATTCATCATACCAAGGAGTTGGTCCAACTCAGATCAGAGTAAGGATGAGAAACTCTCACCCAATATAGGTGAAGTACCTACAACTCTCATTCCTCCGATTTGAGAAGGACCAGCTGCATTCTTACCTTCAAGCGACGAAGATCCAACTGTTCCTTGGGTATCACTTTTTTCCTGAGCACCAGCTTTGGACAATGCCCTGATAGGAGAAATAGTTGGGCCTTTGTTTGATTTTTGGCTTAATAAGAGAACATCATTGGACAATTCATCCCAATCATCCCGCTCGTCCAGTTACCCACTTTTGAAGACTAGTTGTTGCACTTGTGTCTTCTTGGCAGACTTACCCCAAAAAATACTGTCTCTGCTCGCCAACCGATTCTCCCTTAGGTTGACAACACTTCACGAAAACAATTGTGGGACAAATCTTCTCAGTCAATAATCCAAAAAACTACATCATAATGTCATTAGACGACTCACCAACATGGATTTTCTTATTGCTCACCATGAGAGCGCCCTCAACAAAAATCAATTCAAGCTGCAGATATGAAGAAAGTGTAGATGTGGAGGTCTTTGGTAAAAACCTTTTTATAAAACACCAACACACAAAAACTAGCGAGTTTAATTATTACAAAATAAATGAATCTAATACAATATTTAATTATTTATTTTTATTGCAATTGACACTTTAAAATATAAGAGAATTAGAGAATTAAATAAGTATGACATGATCATGTTAGCATGAATATGAAAATAGAACATTGATACATGACAAAATAAGAGAGACCCATGGTCATAGTGTGTCAGAACCTGGTCAAACACTATTTCATCTCAATGGAGTAAATCTTGGCATTGGATCAAGAGAAAGTCAACCCATAACTTAGTTGAGCCCTCTCTGATTTGAATTAAGGCTAATTTGTATAATGGACCGAACGAAAGAAACAACTCTCCCTCGGACGAAGGAACAAGTCAGACCACAGACTGCACAAATATGCTCATTCGCCAAAGAGCACCTATATGATTCCCATGTCGTTCGGCCTACCAGTGCCAAAGGAATGAATCTACTAAAGATAGGTGAAGACCTTTATGATTGACTGATCAATCTGTTATTAAATATATGTATAAACTTAAATTGTATAAGAGACGTTAACACCCTTATGGCCCCTCCATAAATAGGGTCTTAAATGTAATTGTATGTTTCAGATATCTTCTATATCTATAAATAAGGGATCATTTTATGAAAAAAGGGTTACGTACGCTCATTTTACTATTGATTTCTTGCTTATCTCCTGCTTTCCTCTCCTTCTACACGCTCTACTCCATGGGTGTGATTTCTTGAACGACTTAAGATTCAACATCAAATATATTTGATCATGGATGTACAAATTTGTAATGCAAGTTACAATGATTAGGTTAGAAATCTAATTTATAATATGCCTATATCCATTGAGATATTCTAAGTTTCAATAGTCTCAAGATAAATACCCTCACTCATATTATGAATCCAATTAAGATTGTTCTTTATATTTGTTTTCAGAAACCCTAATAAATGATTTTCATATCAACATAGCATTTTAAGATCTAGGGACGTGCCATCATAAGATAGATGTAAGATTATCATGCAATTAATGTGTGAGTCTATCTATAAGTGTCATAGAGCTAAAATCATAAAATATTTTTCTTAGATTCTAGCTTCATTGAAATATTTTGACTTTTTTCTTGATATTTTGTACCAATCATTGATTAGAAATTATCTTGTCATTGAATATTTAGCCTCATTGCCCTTGATAGTTTTTATAGTATTGTAAAATATTGATTAATCATTCCTAATTTATGCATATTTTGTTATCTCCTGCTATCTTCTCTTTACGATAAGTATTGATGACATTTCTTAGTTGAGAGTATTTTCAAATTAGATATAATTAATTTAAAGGTAATGTTATTTTGAGAAATCTCAATCGATAATAAAATAAATTAGTTTTATTGTTTGTGACTAAGAAGGAATAAAAACTTAAGATACAAAATAATCTATTTTTCATTGATTATCTTAGGATTATAGAACCATTTAGATATTTTATCAATGGCATCCATTATATTGTATTCCAATGAATTTCTCTCGAAGCATATTAATGATTTAATATTAAATAAAAAAAAAATGATATGCATAAAAATATAATGAATATGAATTTAACTAAACATAATTTTTTTGATGTAAATTCAATTTCCATATTAAAATAAATGTATAAATACTTTGCCAGACATATATATTTATAGTTTAATTGTCGGGGACCATTGTCTTGTGGATGCTGTTCGAAGGTGCACAATCATTTAAAGTGAAATTTACATACATGTTACAAAATTCTTATCTTAACATATTTAATCATTTAAATAGCTCAACTTTGATAATTATATTATTTACATTTTTATCTTATAAATTCATTTATGAAAATATGAATTTCTTAAGGAAATTACTAATAGTTTTATCCTCGATTTATATAAATATTATTTTTTTCGTATTTGAAACAGAACTGTTCCAATCGAGCAAGAACCAAAAACCGAGCCACAACAGCTCAAAGCAACCTCAGTAAACACCAAAGAAACAGAAACAAAATAGTTGGCAAAGAGATTGTGAGAATAGTGTAAGCTGACCCAGAAGCAAAACGCATTATTTATATATATATATATAAATAATGCGTTTTGCTTCTGGGTCAGCTTACACTATTCTCACAATCTCTTTGCCAACTATTTTGTTTCTGTTTCTTTGGTGTTTACTGAGGTTGCTTTGAGCTGTTGTGGCTCGGTTTTTGGTTCTTGCTCGATTGGAACAGTTCTGTTTCAAGTTACATGGGAAATTTGGTCTCCTCCTTGCTCGATTGCTATTGTCTCTTGCTGGATTGGGTGTTGTTCATTTGGATGTCATTTCTGAATTACTGCTGAGTGATACAATGTTGCTGGACTGACAGAGATTATGGTTCTTCTGGGGAAGCCACTCTTATTTGGTTTGTTGTTTTGTTTATACACTTGGTAAGGTTGGCCTTTCTATGCTTTCTACAGGTTTCAGCTTTTTCAGGTTTTGTTTGTCTCGCGAGGCCCTCCAAGCTTTGGTTCCAGCCGTTTGGTGCAGCTCTTCGTTTCTTGGAGTAGTTCTCGGTTTTGGAATTTTTGGAGCTAATGTCTGAGTAAACATATATGTGCTTTGGGTATATGGCCTTTTTTGTATTTTGTTTTGTGTTTTGGTATATTCTTTTTTTGGTTGGTTTTGAGAGGATTTGTGATGTGGTTGATGAACCTCTTATGAGTGCGTTCTGTATTTTTTTTGGATTTTTAGTTTCGAGGGATCTTCTCCTAACCTAATCTTTGTAATCACCTTTTATGATTAACACGTTGCATGCCTAATAATGCTCATTTCCCATATATATACATATATATATATATATATATATATAATTTGTGATAAGTTTGTAAATCAGCTCCCTCACCTCCAAACCCCTAGCAGAGCGCAGCTAGGTCCAGCCGCCACCATCCTGTTATATTATATATATATATATATATATATATAATTTGTGATAAGTTTGTAAATGCCCTATAATAAAATCATATTCTTCAGTTGAGCTTTGGAGGCGGCCGAGGTCGAGTTCGAGCTGAGCCTGTTCGTCCTGCTCGACGTGGTCATTTATAGCACTGATTCACCGTCCCCAATCCATGCCTTCTCCCAATGTCGATCTACCTCGGATCACCACACTCCTGTCTCTCCCTCCACGGCGCAAGGACATCGACGCCGGTGCTCAGATCGCACAACGCCGATCAAGGGTTTTGTTACTTCGGAGTGTAATGACGCCAGCCGCGGTCAGGATCGCCGCCTCGCGGCGTGCGATCGACGGCGTGAGTGAAGAGCTCAACTCTGTGGCGTCGCAGAACCTTGACACGGCTGCCGTTCGGCGGCGAGTCCGCGCGGCATTTCACGAAGTGCAGGAGCGGCTTGATCACTTCCTTTTCAAGGTTCTCATCATTTTGTTTATTCAGCATTGTTCAGTGGATCTATATCTGAGATTTTCATTTCAAACTTATTTTTAATGAAAGATGTACATATAACATTTGCTTGATGTTTTTTGCAGGCAGCTCCGTCTGGTATATTAATGGAGGAGGTGCGTAGAGTTCACCACAGTATTGCCGATAGTAATTTTTATCACAGTTTTTTGTTTTTAATGCTCACATTGTTTTTTGAGCGTAGACTGTAAAATGATATAAATGTACGTTCCGAGGATCTTTTGCGTTTTATTGACTTCAGTTTGTTATAATTTGCTTGCGATGAAAGGTTTATAAAATAATTAGTGCTGCTGGCATGACATGTAGCTTTCCTCAAACATCATGAGTCAAAATAGTCAAATAGTAGGTTTTTTTTTAAAATAGTTTTTAAGACTATCCAGTAAGAGAAGATGCTCCTATTTGTTCATTTTTATAATGTACTATAACTGTTACATGATGAAGAAAAAAAGAGTAATAAACTGAAATGTTTTTGAATCAATTCCATTCCTGATAAAACACAGAGGTTATTTCTCTGTAATTGATAGGCCACCAAAAAGAATTTCTTGATTAGGCATGAGTTTTGTTGCGTTTTGCGATATAGAATTTTGGAATTAAATTAAGGATCACTCAAACTTCAATTTCAACAAACAAATAGAATGTTTTGGTGAGACTAACTAAAAAACACCAAAAGTGATCCAATTCAAGTCAAAATGGGCCCCGATAAAGTTCTGAAATGTACTAGAAAACTTTGGGACGTTAATTGGAGGATCAAATAGTCATTAAATTTTGCTAGTTAATAGTCAAATCGAGTGGCTTAATAAGTCAAATCCAACAATCCCAATACAACTTCATTCTGACATTGCTAAGACAATCAAATACTTGAAATATTTTATGTGGTATAAAAAATCTTTCTAGACCGTCCGATTAAGTATTTTGGATTATGGTGTTATTTCAAATAGTTGTTACTTTCATAATCTATGAATAGACCCTTTGATATCGGAGTTAACCTAAATTACAATAGGAAAAACAAATATTATTGTTTGAAATAAATAGGCGGTCAAAATCAAACAAACTTAAAAGGGAAACATAACACAACCTAACTCTATAGCTCGATCTTGGGATGGTGGAGGTTAGTTAGGTGGTTAAAATGGGTTGTGGGTGGTTGGGACAATAGAAAAAAGGTTGGAATTGTGTTGTTAGCGAAACAGAGGGCTGAGACTGTGAGGGCAGCGGTGGAGGTTTGTGGACTGCAGGACGACAAGAGAAGTGCTGTCAGGTGCAGGGGTAGCAAGCGGGGACTGCAGGGACAACAAGATAAGCTGCATTTCAGGCGGAAACAAGTTGGAATGATGGTTGGACAACAGGAAAACAACAGATTTGTTGTTTTACAAATGGTGGCGATGAGGGTCGGCGACTAGGATTAATGCAGGAAGGTTGGGGGAGGATGAAGCGCTTGTGCGGAATGGCAACGAGGCAGGGAACAGAGGTTGTAATGTAGGAACTACAAAAAACATCAAAAGACGTAGTTTCAAGAGGCTGCTATAGGGAAGGGGTGGTCTGGAGCAATGTGGGAGGATGCAGAAGGGGATGGGGGAAGATAAACACCACCTCGAGAGAGAGATACTGCCGGAGCACCTCCCAATTTCTTAGATGCATCCCTTGAAGGGATTAAAAAGATGTCGACAATTGTCCTAAACAAAGTCACTAAAAAACTCATCTCTAAACCCTAATACACCACATATATAGAAAATGACTAGAAAGGAATGAAAGGAAAGGAGGAAATTGGCTAAATTGGAAAGGAAAATTAAAATGGGACTCTCAGTTCAGTCTTCACACGACCGTGGGAGCCGCTGCTTGCTCCAGTGTTCCGTTCATAAGTGGGAGATGCTTCTGCGTCACCCTTATTCTTCTAATGAGAGAGAAGATGAACAAAAAGAGGAGATTTAAGGAAGTTTTGAGGCCTGAAAGATTTATGAGCCCCCGCTTGTTCATCACAGGCAAATCATCATTGCCCGACTGTTACTGCCGCCAAATTTAGATCGCCTGATCATCACTATCGCCATCACGTGGCTGTCATCGTCGGATTGCTACCATTGTTAAATTGCATCTTGATCACTACTGCTGCCAGAATGACATCACTAGTTGACTGATATTGGATTGCTACTATTTTGCTACCATCTTCAGATCATTGTTGCCTATCTACTATTTGGTGGCCTCTTACATCCGATCAGGTCATTGCCAATCAACCATTGCCATCAGGTCATCACCATCAGAATGTGGTCGCCTATCCAATGTCATCCACTGTCATCAAACTGCCACCTCGGGGTGTAAACGAGTCGAGCTGAAGCTACCCTTAAGCTTGAGCTTGATCGAGCTGAAACTTAAGCATATGAGTTCGAGTCGGCTCATGAGTTGGCTTATTTATTATAGAAGAGAGAAAATGATATCAATTTAAGGTAGTAGTATAATAAAATGACAAATAAAATGGGAAATTATGAGAGAAATAATTAAAAATCATTTAATATAAAATATAAAATTTTATTTTTTAAATGTTTTAATACATTAAATATGAAGTCTTCAAAATATTTTATATTAATATTTTTTAAATGAGTTGGTGCACAAGCTAACAAGTCGAGTCGGGGCTAGCTTGAACTTGGCTTGCTACCTCATTGAGCTAAATTCATGAGCCACTTATCAAGTCAAGCTCGAGTCGGTTTACTGTACAAAAAAGATATGTCTACACATTGGATATTTTAGGACCAACAAAACCCCTTCATAACAGTACAAAAAAGATATGAACATCACATAATAGTGAGTTTCATGAAACCTAAAAAAAAAGAAGAAACAACATGTTAAAATTACAAGTAAAAAAGTGACAATATTCCTTTTACAATGTAGAAGCATGTCACGAGGAACGTTGTCCGGATGTGACACGGTAGAACCCCAAGCAACATTGTCCGGTTGGGAAATAGTTGAACCACAAGCGACGTTCTTAAGTTGTGATACCATCAAACCTCGAGTAACGTTGTCCGGTTGGAATAACGTAGAATGGGACGTACTTTCTGCCCACTCGAAGAACTTGCAGTTCTTCGGTCAGTGTGCCTAATGTAGGCACCTGTAGAACTGTCGCTCGTAACTATGTTGTTGACGTGACATGAGTAATAATGACGGCAGTCTGCAGTCGCATAGTATTAGCTCGAACTTTCCTGAAAACCTGTAGCTCATCTTACTACAACTATTTAAGAAAGAATAAACCACTTAGGAAATTACTAATAAAAAAAACATATAATTTGAAAAAAGATTAATAAAAAAATATCGAATTCAATTTTGATATAAGAATATAAAAAAGGAAGATTTATATACATGCTAATCAATTTCTACATATTAACATTATCTAGCACCAAATTATTTCTAAAAAAATATTATGTTGAATTGAAACATACCAAGACAAATGAAATATTTATGCGAAAGATATCCTACCAGAGAGAATAAATAAGATTGCACCATATCATTTGTTTTCCAGAATTGCCAATTTTACAGAGTGCTTCCACAACCTTTGAAAATGATATTCCATAAAAATTGTTCGGTATACAAACAACAAAATTAAATGCAAATAATGATGCTCAATTATTTTCCAGAGTGCTTGAGGCTAATAGTGCACTAAATACAACCCTAAAAAAGAAATGGAATTAAAAAAAAATTAACAGCCAAATCTCATAGTAACAGACCATTATATCCCATTAATTAATGTTTCGAATTCATTTCGCAAAAGAACAAGAAATGGAGCACTTATCAAACTACGAAAGTGAGAAAGCAACTGTTGCCAACAAGAAACTTCTTTGTCTTCCAAGCACTCCACAAACTTGACGGTTTCATTCACGATTGATTAATGTCGTCTGCTATTTGCTTTCTTAAAGTTGTCATCTCTGATGCACCTTCACCCTCTCGAGTGTGTACATCCTGTGAATTCATTTGTAGCTGTGGTATGGTACGTCCCACATGGAATTCAAATGTTCCAAGTGGGATCTGAAGCAAATCATTTTCTGCAACGGTGAATTCTGCATCCGATCTAGAGTGGTGCCGTCAAATGAAATTGTATAGTGCCATAGAGGCCGCTATTACCTGCACTTGCTTCAGAAATGGGTAAGTCGACATATCTCGTAATATAACCCACTTCTTCTTCCAGACTCCGAAGGCTCTCTCGATCACGCCGCGCAAGAAGTGTTTTTTGTTGAATAATTCTTTTTTGCCTCGTGCTACCCTGCTTGATCTTTCGAAATCGGGTATGTGGTACTTCATATTTGGATAAGGTTTGAGATACTCTCTTTGTAAGGGATATCCGACGTCGACCAAGTAGTACTTACCTGTTCAATTATGGTAATTAGCAATCGAAATAAAATACCAAACATAGTTGCTGTAGAGAATGACCTGGAGGTGGGTACGAAAAACTGTATTCAGTTTATAGTAGCAAACTTGAAAACACGACTATCGTGCGCGCTCCCTTTCTATCAATCTATCACAAATGTAAAATACATGTTGAAATCACACGCAGCCATAACATTTTGTGTGAAGGAGTCACGCCGTCCGATGTAGGCCACCTTCTTTGTACCAGATAGACATGCATCAACGTGCGTTCCATCAATAGCTCCAATTAAGTCATGACTTTCAAGATATAACCCTTTAGTATTTCACATGTATATCAGTTTCATCTACGAATGTTATTTTAAAGGCATACCTTGAAGAATGATATGTATCGAGAGTCATTTGCAATATGTGTGGGAACGGACTGGAATGTTGGATCCTCTGGCTTAACTATATTGCATGCCAAACTCATCAGAGCATTCAAATCGACTAAGAAATAACTGTTGATGGTTTTCGATTAATGTTGAAATCGCTCCATAGCTCCTTTATTGAATTTATTCTGGATAAGATGTATAGGGTTATTGCCAACACTTCTCTTGTCGTCGTTTTTGTTGTGCCGTGCAACCCATGAAAGTTCCGCAGTTCATTAAGCAGGTCGAGAAATATCTCTTTCGTCATATGAAACATGTTGGAGAACCAATAACTCACCTAGTCATCTATCCCCAATCTGAATCAATGTCGTAGAAGGGGTTCAGTC